GATCTATATTTGGTGGGATACAATGGTGATTTAGCAAAAAGCACGCTGGGAGTGTGTTGAGCTCAGGGTGGGGAGGAGAAGTGATTTCAGATGCAGCAGGAACAAGTTAAACTGCTGCAGAGTGACGCCAGGTTTTTCTGCACATGAAAGACAGAACACTGATACAAACACACACCTGCAGATACACACACGCTCAAGCAGAAAAACCTGCAGCAGTTGGCACGAGACGCAAGCTGTGGTCACATTAATTCACTGCAGTGGTCATCCCACGACCCCAACACAGCCTACACACACACACACACACACACACGCACACGCACACACACACACACACACACACACACACACGAATCAGTCCACTGCAACACAGATTGAATTCACCCTGTGTACAATACGGATATGAACTCTAAGTAAAAATATCACATGCAAACACTCCATGCAAAACAAGACTAGAACAGAAGCCTTATCTGTATTAGATGAGATATTGTTCGCTGATATCAGATATCATCATATCAACATATGTGAACAGACTGTGTTTCAAACTAGCATCAGACATATAGTACAAAAACTACATACAGGGTTCCGACACGTTTTCATGGGCAAAAAATTCTAAACTTTTCCATGAATTTCAAGGACTCATAACTGTATTTTTTTCTTGTTTCACTTGCCCAACATTTTTCAAATATATCAGATTCAAACTATTCAAACATAATATCGGCTAGCGGACATACGTGAAGGGAGAGACGGAACACAGGGAGAAAATGAAGAAACAAATGTGATGGTAAATGACAGATGCGTATGAGAGCTAGTGTTGTCATGAGAACCGATACTTCGGTACCAAGTCGATGCCAACACGCAAAAAATACGTCGGTACCTGTTTTTTTTTTTCGGTACCGTAAGTACTGGATACAACTTTACCCTCAGCGGGCCGTGTCGATTCCTGATGGAACTGACGGGGGCAGTATACGCACATCAGTCATTGCCGAGGACGAGCGCCAAAGAAGAACGCCTGTTCTCCATCGTCTTTGCTAGAAACAATGGCTTTTACCAGTGCTGCCGGAGCCACAACACCTCGGCTCTTCAAAAAGTCAGGTAGTAGGAGTCGTGTGTGGAGAGGGTCTCATTTACACCACAAGCGATGCATTTGGTAGCGCTCACCAACGGTCACTGTTTACATGTGTTTTTCATTTCGGTGAGCATGTTAACGGGTTAGAGCATTCACACCGCATCCATTCTACGTGCTGTTCGAGTCATGCTGCTTTCAGAAGCAAGCTGGAAAATAGAAGAGACGCAGATTTTTTGCGCAAGTTGCGAGCGAATGGGAGGGGCTGTTGATGGCGCCGCACGTGCAACTCACTGGCAGTGGATAAACAGGAAACAGCTGATAGCAGGAATTAGCGAGCAGCTAGTAGCAAGAGGGAAACACAAACCTGACAGACACTGTAAAGATGAGCAACTGGGTAGACAAGGAATTGTGCGCCCTCCTTGTCCTCGCAAACGAAGAGGCCATTAACCGTCAGATGACGGGGACGGTGAAGAACGGGCCGACTTACGAGAGAATCACCGAAGGACTGACCAGCCGCGGCTTCCCTCCCACGTCACTGTTTACGTCACACGCTGAGCTACACGTTTTGTTACTTGCTCACGCCCCCCATTGCCCAGAAAAAGGCACATTCTGTATAAACAAAAGTAGGTAGGCGGCATTTTGCTGCACTCCCCGATTTTGTTTTTATACTGCCAATGCTGAAAAAACACTGATTGGGCTTTCCTGCAAATTTGCACAACTCCTACTCAAAAGGGCTACTGAGACCCAGACCTGACCACCAAACACCATCAGTGCTGGACCTCACTGAGGCTCTTGTGCCTGAATGGGAGCAAATCTCTGCAGCAGGTTTGTAATGTCATGAAAAGACAGAGACAAGGAGAGTGGAAGCTGTTGGAGCAGCAGATTAATGCTCATAGTTTTGGACTGAGATGTTCCCTTGCCATGAGTAGGTGTCCACATACTTTTGGCCATGTACTGCAGTGTATTTCAGCTCCAGATGGCACAGGGTGTGTGGAAGTAACATTGTTCAAAATTTAATTGAACGGTTGAATGAAATGTCTGAAAAATTTAAATAATCAGAAAATTTCAGACTCTCTCAGAGAACGGTTCGGAGATTTCCTATTGAAAAAAAAACCCTGAGCCGTTGAGCAGAGATAATTAGAGTTTCTGCACTAACAGGGAGTGTTTTATGCTCACACTCATTGATTGAACCGCCTCAGTGGGATAGAATAGGGTTTATCAGGGCTTTAATTGATTTCCATTCACCTTCAGGAGGGTTAGAGGGAGTGCGCTTGCTGATGATGAACCTCACATATCAACAGGCTCCTCAGACAGGAATGACAAAAGGAATGCAGCTCATCATGTCGTTTGGCCACATGTTAAACATAGCTGTGCTGTCAGAGTCAAATCTGTCTCTCCCTTGTTTTCTGTCTGTCACTGCTCAGTTTGACACTGGGCACGTTGTTGTGAACAGAAGACGCTCAGTGAGGAAAGTAATGAAGAGAAAATCAGGTTATGGTGGAGGAATGCTGGTTGCTGAGGGATGTGACTGAATGAATATGTCAATGAGGCTTTGACGGAGTTGTGGGGAAGGCCAGGCAATAAAAAGGGAGAATTTGCATCGAGCACAAAATGTTGGTACACTTTTTTGTGTACACTTTATTGAACCTGGCTGTGGTGCCGATGGTGTCACACTGTTCCACTGATCTACAGGTGGCTGCAATGAAGTGAGAAACACAGTGATGAACCAGCAGAGGCAGTAAAGACGAAGGCTTCCTGCTGGGCTTTCCAAGTGATTTATGAGGAAGAGAATGCATTCAACATATTTGTTAGACTTCCAGTATACTAGGGATACGCAAGTTATTTCCATATTCAGTTACTCACATTAGATTATTAGGGCCTGAGCACCATGCGGTGCGAGGTCCCTACTGAAACTGGAGGAATTGTTATTATTCTCCAAAATGAACTGCATATTTGACGGGCTCAACGTTCTCTAAAACTCATCAAACAAAATTTCTATGAAGGGGCCCCTAAAGCTGGTTTCACCTACATATATGAAACTTGGTCGGCACATGTAGCACCACAAGACGTACAACAAAAGTCTCTCTCCGCCATTTTTAATCAAATGTGTAATTTCTGTGCATTTCCGGACGTTTCCAGGGGTCGTACTTTTACAAACTCCTCCTAGAGATTTGAGCTGATTGATTTCAAATTTTGTCTGTACCATCTAAAGACCTTTGACATTAAAAGTTCCTCAAAGCTTGAGTTTTCATCGTACTGTGTCACCGTGGCGAGGTGTCAAATTGCCAGGTTTCGCCACCGAACAGTGGTTTGTAACTCCAGTACACATGGTCCAATCGGCCCCAAATGTTAATTGTTTTATAAGTAAGTTATAGGTGTCATGGTGATTGCGCCATCTACTGGCAACAGGAAGTAGGGAAGTTCTAGACCTAATCACAACAGTTCCACAACATAAACCACATGTTTTAATGTCTTTCATCTGTGTGTCATTTAGAGACACACTAAAGGGTGACCTTTCTGTTGCTGCCAGAGCCCAAGAGGCGTGGCCGTATTCTGCAAAAATAATGGACATAGCTATCATGACGTCACCCATTGGTTTGTGGACTCCTGATGTGAAGCCTTGAGTTTGACATTTCGGTTGCTGCTATCTTGTTTTTTGGAAGCCAGAACTGATAATATTTGGGTAAGAGGCTGGCACTGTGGAGGAGCGAGGAGTGGATCTGACTGAGAAGCCGAGGGCGCTATCTGCAGACAGCTTATCACTAACAGCATCTCACCCTTGATTATGCGTAACTTTAAGCTTTAATAAAATGTAAACGGGTGAGTTATATAAGAACTCAGCCTCGGTACAGTTGTCATGAATGGGGAAATTAGCTTTAGAGACCAAAACCATTTTGTGTATCAGACTGTGAACATTTTTATATCTGCTGTAAAGTTGGACATTTTAACATGAGGGTCTGTTGGGATTAAATGGCTTCTGGAGCCAGCCTCAGGTGGACATTAGAGGAACTGCAGCTTGTTTGTGCTCTGGCACTTCCATGTTGGCTTAACTTCTCAGCCCGAGGTTGTGGCTTGGGCGTGACAAAGCATCAGTATTTGACAACCTGGGAATGAGAACGTGTTGTTTTGAGGACGCTCTCCTGCCCATCCCTATAGGATACACCCAATGTGTTTTGGTGAGTAACACAGAATGTAACTTTTGTTTTAAAGAAACTCCACAGGGCACCTTTTACTATGATAAACTACAAACAAAATGAAAAACAAAAACAAAAAAACAAAGGATGCAGTATTTGTGTGGGTGTAGATGGTATCTTGAACCTGTCAAGTGTATCAAAACAGAAGTAATCACAAAGGTGGTACATTGAGAAAGAAAACGGACAAACGCAAACTGGAAAGCGAAGCTCAAAGAATGTCATTGTCTAAAATATCATTGTATGCTGTAACATTTAGATTTCTCTTGACTGGGACTAAACCAAGTAAACCCAAAATGTGTCATCAGGTGTGTCCACATACTTTAGGCTTTACGGTGAATAACATTTTGTAACATCTAACCTTCTCTAAAAGGTGATCTAATGAATCATAAACGTGATTCTTTATAACCAAGCTAGATTTAAAGCTGTGACAATGAAAAGTAAACTTTAGTTGCACCTTTTATTAAACTGTAAACAGATCCGACCCCCCTCATCATCATTCTTCCTCCAGCAGACCATGCAGTGAGCCTAATGCTGCAGTAAGCTCCAGCATAAAGGACCTCTTATGTATCTTTCCACAGTGGCATTGTGTACCTGGCACTGTGATAAGCTTGTCCTGAGGACGTGCACATTTCCAACATATTCCAAATTCTTTGTTTCTTACTGCTGTTTGCCTTGTGCTCTTTTCTCTTCACGTGAAAGTTGACATGCGCCCTAACCTGCTGCACAAAGTCACAACTCACCAGCACTGCGCCGAAGCGTTGCTCTAGTTCTTCCTCAGGTGGCATCGGGAGTTTCAGCCCTGCTGTTCTTTTTTGGGAGCCCGAGGAGCCTGGAGGGGCCAACACCGTCTTGCCCTCCTTCCCCTGGGGTACCTCCATGCTTCCTGCTGCATTCCCCATGATTGTATATCCGTCAGATCCAAAACATACACATACAAAAAAACTGCTCCTGAAAAACTGCCTCAGCTAGAAAACAGTGGTTAATAATTAAAAAACATATTAGTTATTCAAAGTTAAGTTGGAGGCTCTGTGAGGCACTGGCCTGTGACCTTTTATTATTTCCATGACCCCAGTCTGTTGATTCATGCTGAAGCAGCTCTCAATACCCGTCCATATCCTCAAACAAGGAGAAAGCAGCGGGATGAAATCCACCCCTGCCTCTGAATGAGATCCTGATGCATTATGAAACCCTAGAAAGAGGGAAGGGGATATCCTGAGAGTGATGGACAGAGTGACAGCTGAACGAGTGAAAGAGAAAAGGGGAGGAGATAGAGTTCAGAGCCTGGAGCTCTGCGCACAGGACGAGGCTGCGATAAGAAGAAAAATTAACATTAACCAGGAGAGGTATCACTTCTGTGTTTCCCTCTGCACAGGTGGGGAGAAAACTCTGGAGGCAAAACTACTCCAAAAGCTGCAGTGCTCTCGGGTGATGAGACTTAGTTGTGCTCGCAGGTAGTCTGTGGAAGCTCTCCATCTGCTGTTGGATGCTGGGAGTCTCTGGGCCTTTGATCTCCATATCCAGAGGAAAGAGAGGAAAGAGGGGAAGGCAGAGATCCAGCAGGCAGCCACTCTTTCTATCCGAAACAGGGACAGAGAGAGACAGACGGCAGCAGTGGCATTAGTCCGAACAGCAGAGAGTACAGAGAGAGAGCCGAGCTCTCTGGGTCCTAAAGCCTCCATGTTTCCTTCAGAAACCTACAGACAGCTACAGAGTCACACTCCTGACACAAACTGAGCCTGAGGCGTATTCAGGATTTCTAGAGATCAAGTCTCCTGATTTCTTAATATTTTACTTATTGCCAACAAATCATAAGCACTCCAACTCTTTAAGACACATCAGTGAGCTATGCTGTTGCACTGGGTTGGACACACACACACACACACACACACACACACACACACACACACACACACACACACTACCTTATTTTGAAATACTGAAATAAGCTTAAAACACTCATTCCAACAACAGATTTGTATAATCTGGTGTTGGAAACAGTCTCCAACAAAAACACTGTTTCCTCCTGTTTGAGTAACATTTGCCAAAAACTGCAGTGACCTGGCATCTCATTTATAAACACTGCGTACGCACAAAACGAGGCCTAAAAGAGGCGTACGCCACTTCCCATGCAAAAGTTGTGATCTATAAAATCAGACTTGATGGGAGAAACTTTAACCTGTGCTTATGAGCATTTTGGAGACGAGAAATTGGCGACGCAGACGGTGAGCTGGAGCCTGATTGTACAAACTGCCAAATATTTTTTGGTGTTTTAAACCATACGTATGTTTTTAGTCTGGATCCTAAGCATTGTTTTATTAATGAGACCCCAGCTGTTACATTAAATTACTGAGTCCTTTCACTCAAAAATATGGGTAAGACAAGCAAAATTTTTAAAACATTAAAATGTTGTTTAGTAATCTGCCTCACAGGAGGAAAAGCACAGGTGTAAATAAGAAAACTAAAGATGGCCACATTTCATTTAGCTGCTTCAGTTTCATGGTCCTGGTCCTGTTCATGTTGGCTCACTGACGAAGGTTACATGCACACCAATATTCCCCTATTAATCTGAATATGACAATATTTTGAATTTGATGTGGGTCATGTAAACAGCATATTTTAAATATATCGAATGAGGCCTTTTTCCAAATTTAGCATATTCTGATTAAGGCATGTGGGATATGCCAATATCATTCAGGTTTAAAATACAGTTCTTCGACATATATACAGCCGATTCTGAACATGTGTCTCAGCTGAGGTTTTACTGCAGTTTGCAGTTTGTCTGTTTTCAATCGGCACTGTGCGTTGTCATGGATACGTTGTAAACAAACCCACTTGTCAACAGTTTGCAATGCTGGTGTAGAAATGGATGCAGTAAAGCCCACATTTCTGGTCTGAAGAAGGAACACACCTACTTTAATCATTACGCAGGACTTGGATATCAACAGGTTTTTGGATGTGTGCAAATATCAAAACTCCAACCTTTTCAAGAAGGTGACTGAAGCAAGGAAAGAGATACGCTGAGCTCACATGGTCCAACAAGGAAGGAAGGACACTGTGAACAATCTTATTTTGACGCTAAGAAGAAGAAGAAGCTGTTCTGCCTTTCCATTTTAAAGTCATAAATGACATGTTGCATAACATTACAGGAGTCTGCATGTCTGCCTGTAAACTGGAATATTAATGGAATATTCATTTTCATTTGCCATGTAAACTGCTTAGTAGGAATATTGTCTTTTTCAGAAAAAGGGCCAAATCCAGCTTTACAGCCTCGTTGTGGTGGTGACATGAAGTCGAAAGGGTCCAATCCGGCCCACTAGATGACTAAACTCAGAGGTGCCAGGTTTCAGGAGCAAGATAAAGAAAGTGTCGTCTTCTTCATGTAAAATTCTGCTTCAGAAGCTTTTCCACCCCGACCAGAATACAGTTCTCTGATAAAACAATTAATACTAGAGAAATAAATCACCTGTTTACACACACATATACATATATATATATATATATATATATATATACAGTACAGGCCAAAAGTTTGGACACACCTTCTCATTCAATGCGTTTTCTTTATTTTCATGACTATTTACATTGTAGATTCTCACTGAAGGCATCAAAACTATGAATGAACACATGTGGAGTTATGTACTTAACAAAAAAAGGTGAAATAACTGAAAACATGTTTTATATTCTAGTTTCTTCAAAATAGCCACCCTTTGCTCTGATTACTGCTTTGCACACTCTTGGCATTCTCTCCATGAGCTTCAAGAGGTAGTCACCTGAAATGGTTTCCACTTCACAGGTGTGCCTTATCAGGGTTAATTAGTGGAATTTCTTGCTTTATCAATGGGGTTGGGACCATCAGTTGTGTTGTGCAGAAGTCAGGTTAATACACAGCCGACAGCCCTATTGGACAACTGTTAAAATTCATATTATGGCAAGAACCAATCAGCTAACTAAAGAAAAACCAGTGGCCATCATTACTTTAAGAAATGAAGGTCAGTCAGTCTGGAAAATTGCAAAAACTTTAAATGTGTCCCCAAGTGGAGTCGCAAAAACCATCAAGCGCTACAACCAAACTGGCACACATGAGGACCGACCCAGGAAAGGAAGACCAAGAGTCACCTCTGCTTCTGAGGATAAGTTCATCCGAGTCACCAGCCTCAGAAATGGCAAGTTAACAGCAGCTCAGATCAGAGACCAGATGAATGCCACACAGAGTTCTAGCAGCAGACCCATCTCTAGAACAACTGTTAAGAGGAGACTGCGCCAATCAGGCCTTCATGGTCAAATAGCTGCTAGGAAACCACTGCTAAGGAGAGGCAACAAGCAGAAGAGATTTGTTTGGGCCAAGAAACACAAGGAATGGACATTAGACCAGTGGAAATCTGTGCTTTGGTCTGATGAGTCCAAATTTGAGATCTTTGGTTCCAATCGCCGTGTCTTTGTGAGACGCAGAAAAGGTGAACGGATGGATTCCACATGCCTGGTTCCCACTGTGAAGCATGGAGGAGGAGGTGTGATGGTGTGGGGGTGTTTTGCTGGTGACACTGTTGGGGATTTATTCAAAATTGAAGGCACACTGAACCAGCATGGCTACCACAGCATCCTGCAGCGACATGCCATCCCATCCGGTTTGCGTTTAGTTGGACCATCATTTATTTTTCAACAGGACAATGACCCCAAACACACCTCCAGGCTGTGTAAGGGCTATTTGACCAAGAAGGAGAGTGATGGAGTGCTGCGGCAGATGACCTGGCCTCCACAGTCACCGGACCTGAACCCAATCCAGATGGTTTGGGGTGAGCTGGACCGCAGAGTGAAGGCAAAGGGGCCAACAAGTGCTAAACACCTCTGGGAACTCCTTCAAGACTGTTGGAAAACCATTTCAGGTGACTACCTCTTGAAGTTCATGGAGAGAATGCCAAGAGTGTGCAAAGCAGTAATCAGAGCAAAGGGTGGCTATTTTGAAGAAACTAGAATATAAAACATGTTTTCAGTTATTTCACCTTTTTTTGTTAAGTACATAACTCCACATGTGTTCATTCATAGTTTTGATGCCTTCAGTGAGAATCTACAATGTAAATAGTTTTTACTGAATATTTGAAGCAAACTGTGAAATTATCACTGGTTTTGTTGTAATTCTACGTTCTTAAATTGCTAATTATTATTATTATTATTTTTTTACTAATTTGTCAAATAAAATACCGTGAAATATGGTGACGTTATTTCAGGGCCATATTGCCCACCCCTATTAGTAACACCTGTAGTTTCCCTTCAATGAAAAGTCAAAATGTCTGCTGTGACAAAGGCCTATTGTATTCATGTACTGACTAGGGCTGCAACTAACGATTATTTTCAATGTCAACTAATCTGTTATTATTTCTTCATTTAGTTGACTAATCATTTTATCGAAAAATGTGTTAAAATGTTGGTCTGTGTCTCCCAAACCCCAAAATGATGTCATCTAATGTCTTGTTTCGTGCTCACACCAAAGCGTTTTAGTTCACCGTCATGGGAGAGTGTGTAAAACTGCCGATATTTGAACGTAAGAAGCTGCAAAAAGAGTATTTTGGGTACTTTTATAGTACTTTTCTATGAAAAATGACTCAAACCGATTAGTCGACAACTAAAATAGTCACCGATTATGTTAATAGTTGATTAGTCATCGATTAGTCGACTAATCTTCGACTAATCGTTGCAGCCCTAGTACTGACACAACTGCAATTTAAAAATAATTTTATTATTACTGATAATTATGTTATTTCATATGTTTGCTTTGTGGTATTATAGTCCATTAACCTACCAGGTCAATGGTTGTCAAACTTTTTTCAATCATGTACCGCCTTTGAAATATTCTTTCAGCCTAACACATCCTAGAAAATAAATATATAAATAAAATTGTTAAAGAAACACACAGTGAACAAACTTCAATTGCTCTGAAGGTTCACGGCAGGTAACAACTGCACTGAAAATATTCAATATAAAATGTGGTTTATCAAACTTTTTAATTTAACTCAAGTACTGAAAATAAGAAGCGTAACAATAATTATTTCAGTTTCAATACGGTCCTCGCTCAGGTCTGTGCCCAGGCTCTTATGATCACGATAAATTCAGTTTGTTTTTCAAAACATAAAGAGCAGCACAAGATTTAATTGTAATCGTTTCAAACTAAATAAAAGTGTGTTTCTTTCCAACAAGCAGGTAACAAACAGGCTGCTCACAGACCCAGATCTCTGTGATCAAAGCCTCATTCATACTAACATGTTGCGCCATAAGGAACTCATAACACCCTGTGTCCAAACAAACCCCGACTGTAACGTGGCTGCTAAAGAGGATCACACACCTAATCACAATCATAAGTTGTGCGGCAGCGATGACATAAGCGCCACAGGACTCTGTTTGTACGCATGTTGTTGGCTACAGAATGACTGGAGTGTTACTGGAAGGTGGACGCAGCCGTTAATAAATAATGAGTGTCACACTGATACCTGTGCGTCTGGCCACACCTGGTCAGCAGCACACAGGACATAATGAAGCGTGACACATTCAGTGGAGGAACTCTGTTCACTGAGTTT